CAAGACAGTTAAAATTTGAAAATATTCAGGAAAATTCTAATAAATTCCCCGCACATGTTGCAAGTACAAATTCACGTTTTGAAAATGTAACAAACAATATTTCTTTACTAGTATGATTAATTTATTAGATACTAAATATATTATCAATAAACATTAGTGAAAGTATGTAGGTTTATGAATAATCATATTTTTATAAATTAGTTTAATTGGTTTTTCATTAAATTAACATTAATATTTAACTAAATGAACATAAATTAATTATGCTCATTGAGCTTCTTCCGGGTGGTCTTACTCTCTACCAATTAATAATACATGGCGGTAAGAATTAATATCATTCGAACACGAATTTGTCAGGTTACAATTTATCGAAGGAAAATCTCTATTCATAATACATCATCTTAAATACTTCGAATTTCTGTTTCATATATTTTCTTGAATATTTTTTGGAATTCAACTATTAAATTAATTTATAAAGTAGTTACAATGTTGCGACTTCTATCCTTAGGATGAGTTCAAGTTTGAAAATCTCTATGATATATTTAGAGTATGCATAATAGTTGAGAAAATATTTTGAGTAACGTAGTCGTTTTAAATCGAGTCCACACGAAAATATATATAACTAAATTATTTCTGAAATGTAAACATTGTTAGGATTTGCATTAAAATAACTTAGATTTTTTAAAATATCAATGTATCACATTTACTATTAAAAGCTCATTGACGGTCCTAATGCAAATGGTAAATATAACCATGGTTCCACAGAATCTACAAAAATAATACTGCCTTTCATTAGTTTATTAAATCTGGCTATTAAAATATGAACCGGCAGTAGTTTTTAGAAATTGCATACTGCATCTTATATAAAATATTTTTTGTCTGCAAATCTTCTTTTATTTTTAATTAGGAAAATATTATAACAATCGAAGGAATTCCTTTTTAATAAGAAATCAAAAAGTTTCATGGAATGTAACTATTTATTAATACTGGAATTAACAATTATATATTTGAAATATTTGAAGTCGACAATAAAATTCCAAATGCAATTAAAATTAAGTATTCATACTGCAATTATTATATATTATTATATTATATTATACGATATAAGAATGAAGTGTGTTTAAATTTAACTATAAGGTAAAAACCATATTTTTAAAAACTATACCCATTTAATAAAGAACGAGTTAAATTCGCTCTTCATCCGATTAATACTACTTTATTAGGTAATTGTTTTTGTGCAAAATCATTTTTAAATTTATTTTTAATATCTTTTATGTACAATATGGAATAAATATAATGTGTTGTGATGCTTTACATGGATAAACAATACAATTTTTAAAACAAAAAATCTATTACTGTCTGAATTAATCTACAGCAATATTCACAAGTTTTTTGTTCAGCAAATACCATGTTAAAAAGTTCGTTTTTTTAGCACGATAAACCTTTCTTTATAATTTCAATGTAAATTTGTCTGCAATAATTTACAGTAAATCTACTCATGCAAAAACTTTTAGTACTTCCTGTTGATTGGTTATGAATACTAATTTTTTTTAGATTAAGTATACGGTATAAGTTGTCTGTTCTTCATAACAATTAATTATTAACAATAATAATAATAAATTATTGCCGGGCAATTTGAAATATTTAATTAGCTAACATTTATAACCAGAATTTATCCTTCTTATATTTTCTAATATGATTCTCAAACTCTTTCAATCAGGTCTTTTCAATCCTTATCATTAGCAGTTTTCTCAAACTTTCACAGACGAAGTCTGTTTTGTCGGTTTAACTATTTCAATTTAGCCAATAATTATAAGTCTTATATTTTCTTAATATTTTTTAAATGATTGACCATTACTTTTTGGTTAGACCACTCCTAGAGTTTGCTGATATTTAGCCAACAGAAATTTTTATAATCGTATTATCTTATTATCTTATTATAATCTTACTAATACGTTTATAAGGATGTGTCTGATTCAAGTTTTTTTTTAGCCATAGTATTTTGAATTAATTGTACATACTAATATATTATGACATTTATTAAAACTTGTGATAATAAATTTAATTTAAGTATCATTCTTGTCATAAAGTAGATCGCTTTCAGATTTTTTGTATGTCAAAATTATAAAAACATTTGTTTTAAATGGAAAGTTGTATTCTCTTATTAATCTATGCGTCAAAAACAATATGATTTGTTCTGCTTCGCCAATTAATCTACATACGACATTTAACTGTGAGAGAAACTTTCATAGGATTATCGAATCTTTTTATCATGAGAAAATATATTTACATTATGTTATGAGACTTTTTTTGTTTTCGTGTTATGACAAGAATTTAAAAAAACATAAATAATCATTGTAAAAAATGTTCTAGATGTTGTATATTATATTTCTATATGTGTTGATTTTACTAATAAAACTACGCAGTGTTTATTATAATTATTAAAACGATGCACTTAATAGTTTTTTTTAACGATTGATGAACAAATTTTCATAAAAATGCTTAGCTATACCTAAATTAGAATATTCTTATAAAGCAAAATTACTTAATAAAAGCATTTTTAACTTGCCGTAGGGTAGGTTATAGTAATTGCAAGAAAAATAAAAAAAAAGAGTGCGCGTAAGGATCACACGCGATTGAAGTAAAACTTTTAATATTGTATGAGTAGGCAATTAAGATAAAAATAAAAAAAACATCATATTTGAATTTTAAAAATCATCTTTTAATAATCATATAACATCAATAATAATAAGATCTCCTGAGCATCGGCACAGCTGTCCTACTGATATTAAGAGTTTGAATATGATGTGAAGCTTTCTCCTAATTTTGTTACCTATCTTACCGGGAAATTCAAACCATAAACGTAGAAGTTCATCATTATCGCCACGTTCTATGTACACTAATTTCCTACACAACCATTAGCTAAGCCATCACTTACATCAATATTAGTTGTTATTATGTAAAATTTATTCAGAACTAAAATTATTTCATACGGCAAACCCCCGGTATCAATAACCGATTTTTGTGAAAACTGTTGACGAATGTATGATTGTTGATCTGTCGCATGGCAACCTACATAAATATCCGTGGCAGTAGATATTATTTTGTCTTCAACGAGATTCAGTATAAATTTATTATATTCCATGGCACATTTATTCTCTAAGAAAAGTCTTATTCCATGAGGACATAATACAGCAACCTCTTCTTTTGTAAAAAACGTGATTCAATTAATGCAAGTTCATATAGGGTTTAGCGCTCGACTTACGCATGACATGACGGGAGTGGATACTCGCGACATCAGCGCTTACGGCGTCGTAGTGTTCAACTACACGTTGGCATTTTCGTTGCATTTGTACGGATTTACACCCGTGTCGCGCCTAAAAATTTTTACACCCATATCGCGCCTAAAGAAGTTTTACTTCAAAAATCATATCTTAGATTTTCATACTTTAAAAAAAATGGATGTATGTGTGTGTGTGTGTGTGCGGATACAAGTTTTTGTCGACGATTATGGGAACACGCATTAACCTCTTCGAATAATTCAAAAAACGTTGATTTCTATTGATAAGACGCTGGTTAGATTTTTGCAAAGGCAGGTCTAGCCATTTCGAAAATACGGGGCAAAAAGAGCCAAAAATGGCAATTTAGTTTTTGAGAGAACGAAGTATTGAAAAACGAAGTACATTTTAAATTTTTGCGAAGGTAGGTTTAGCGGTTTTAGAGACCGAGTGAAAAAAGTAAAAATAAAACGCAATCTTGCGATCAAAAATGACCATTAGACATATTCACATCAAATTATCAGATATTTGATAGAGATTTTAATAATACGTATGAATTTTGTTTACATTTTTATGGGTTCCATACCAAACAACCATCCAGCACGATTGCTTTGAAAAAAAGTTCAAAATTTTCAGGAAAAATCAAAGTATAAAAAGATTTCGAAGTATAAAAAAATCTAATTTTTCAACAAAGTCAAATTCTTTCAAAAAAATCTTTTCTTTGAAGGTTTTTTAAAAATTTCAATTTTTGGCACGTGAAGTTGCGGCGAATTTGCTTCCTATGCCATGCACCACTAGTCTGCAAATAAATTATACTTTAAAATACGGTTTTACATATGATTTTCAGCAATAAATGCCAATAGAATCATAAGAGTTCAACATCATCCTTTTCAAAAGTCATTTTTGACCAAATATTATTGATAGGTTATTTTATAAATACGTAATTATTTTTTGAATTATCAAAACTTATATATTAAAATTATGTTTGTTAATTAAGTCTCAGATGAATGTAATCACCAACGCTGCTGACACCAAACGGCTACGGAAGTTCTTAAATTAGATCCGATACAGGAGACAGAATCTTGTTCATATCTTCGATGTATGAAAATTTCAAGGTTTAAGGGATACTAAAAGAAAACATCAAGGTTTGCGATAAAATTCGCGGCAGATATAACACTGTAAGTAAAAATTTTCATATGAAAAATTAAGAATATTTTGAAATAATTGGAATTGGAATGCATTATTTTTTATTTTGAGATTATCAATTATAAGGCATGATTTTTACTTCAGATATAAATAATCATATTTATCAATTTATTAACAAATCCTTAGTTTGCTTTCCTTCATTTTTAGTAATATTTTGAATATTTTTAGTATGGAATATGTGATTATTTTTTATATATGCAATCTACAAATTATATATTGGATAATACAAATTCCAATGATATGGAATATATTAAAAAAATTGGTTTAGAATTTGTCAACTTACTCACTCATTCATTATTTAGTCTATCATAGCCGGTTATAATAAACTAAGGAATATACTTGTAAAACTATTTTATTTTGGTTTTATATATTATTTACATTACATTTTTTCATACATTTGTTACAATATATAAATATATAAGATATAAAATATGTATCTTTGTCCAGTAATTCTATATTTTTTATTTTCTCTATGTTCTAAATTATTTTTTCTAGTTCTGACACCATAGCGCTGACAGGGCCGTATTCACATCGTACGCAATGCCATATGGCTCAGGGATCACCTGACGCGGTGCTCCGAGGCCCGCGGGGGTCCTTACCTGTGAGAGTTCTGCACTGGAATAGGTCAAAATCATAATCTTGTCTTTCAAGTTTTATTGCATGCGTTAAATGGAAATGATTAAAAATATAATATATATTGTAAATAATGTTTTTTCAAGAATGTTAAATATGAAAATGCGATTATAAAATTGATCGGCTGCGGACTTTATATCATGATCATGTAGTTTCTAGATTTACATTTGCTTGACATGAATCTTTAAATTAACATTTGTTTATAAACAAAATATTTTACGACTTAATACATTAAATCAGTTTGATAGTTTACCTTGTTATACATTAAACACTCAGATTTTTATAGGCTACATCGTGTATTTTTAGAACATTCGAAGTTCATTGGGATTTTGAATTACTCGTTTCTATTGCCCACAGTTAGGACTTCAATGAGTTTAACATTACATTTTCTTTTTTTAATCAAAAAACTTAATCCGTTATTTATAATTATTCTATTATACTTGTATAGTGCTCTTTTTACATTTTGCACATGAGAAAATCTCTTCATTTGCAGATAAGTAATCTTATGTAAAATATTATCAATATTTGCTTGTGCATCAACCTCCCATTTAAATAAACATTCGGGGAACTTTAATTGCTTGAATTGTTTATTTTAAACTGTAAAACATCGTTGCTTTTCCTTGAACTTACATTCGCTTGGCTATATGATCACTCTTAGTATTGAGTTGCATTCGTTTAACTGACAAAACTTATTTTGTGTAGAAAAATAGACATATGAAAGCGATCTTAGAAAAGTACAAATATACTTGTAATCAAATATATGTGAAAAAATTATTAAATATCGGAATATGATAATCATTTTCTCAAAGTCCACAATAGATAATATTTTTTAATGTTTAACGTAATAACGAGACTTTCAATAAGTTAGGAAAAATGTTATATGCATGGTCCGTTGTTGATTTATCATTTATTACAAAATGAATGATTCCATCTTTATTACAGAACAGGATATGTGAACTTAGGACCGCCTCGCGCCCTTGCGAGCCGAATTGCGGGCTCTGATGAGCGGCCTTGCTGTTGTGTCGGAGTGCTGCCCTGGCCGCGCGCTATTAATAGCCCCCGTGGCGGCGGCCGAGCTCTGTTCTGGCGTCCTCGCAATGCAGTGTCTCGCGCGAGCCCAGAGCGCGTATATCGTCCCTCTGGTAGTACATCATTACCCGCCATACAGGCTCTAGGAGTCGCGAAGACGCCTGACGTATCGTTGACAGTAGGAGGCCAGGATGCGCGACCGCGCGTACGTGCCAAACCCGAGCTGCCCGCTCTTTTGAAGCCTTGTGCTGGCGCTGACACGCTGGATCGCCTGCAGCGTTTTCGCTTTGGCCGCGGGGGCCGTTCTCGACACAACCGACCGTCGCGGACCGGAGATCGCGCCGACAGCTTGCGGGAACTTACTGAACGTCTGAAAGGCGCCACTAGTTCCAATGTGCCCCCCGTGCCACCTACACCGCCGCCGCTACCACCGCCTGTACCGCCACCGCGAAACAGAACACCTCGTTCTCCGCCCGCAACTTTGCAACAGCATGTCTGCAATACGCAGCAGGATGACTCTTTTGACGTACAACTCAGCAAGCCAGAGTCGAGAGCCATTGTTGGATCTTATATTCAACGAACCATACCATTCCGGAGTGCATCCTTTTCGCAGGTCGACTATTTACCAGATGGTAAAAAGTATGTTCGAAACACACAGAATCCACGCATTGCCTCCGGATCTGTGGCGGCTGAAGCAGGTCTCACGCTGCCACGAAAACGCGAGGGTGTTAGCCCAAACTCCAGAGTGGCAAAGGAATTAATATCTTCAAATGAAATACCAGCGATTGAAAGTGATTCACAGTTAAAATGTTATGAAAATGTGCCAAACGAAATAGATGAAAGTGATACACCGAGTGACAATCGAACATGTGCAGTCGAACTTAACAATATACCCCCTTCACCGGAGTGTCCTGGGACACAAATTGAAGGTAGCATAATTGAAAAATTAACGTCGGATATTCTTTTGCAGAATGTCACGACAGTTGATAATGATTCAGCAAAAGTTACAAAAAGCCAAAATGGAAATTCAAAATTCAATACATTTCCAAAAAGAAAAGATAGTAGACAAGATGATTTGCCGTATTCTTCAATTGATGCTGAGAACATGAAAAGTTTTGGCAAACGAGATTTCGAGAAAGATTCTGAAAACTACGTATCATCTCGAAATTGTTTGATTGATACTTCCTCCAGTGAACCCATGGTTTCTATTAGTGCAAGTGAATCAGATAAAACTGTTGTAGATAATTCTTCGAACTCAGGTGTAGTTGATATAAATCTTGTTAATGAAAACTCACAGGTACCTCAAGAAACGAGTGTAGTTAAACCCGACTTGCATACGGCTGTGTTAACTGTTGTACCAGTGCCGGTTTATGAATGTATTGTTCGCGAATGGTCTTCAACAACACCAAGTGAGACAGATCAATGGACTGCTGCGACACCTACTTTAATTACAAGTGATTCGGTTAAAAGTGATACTCCTTCTCCAGATGTAAGCGTTGCCGAAGAGCGAAAACGAGTTGTGGATAAATCTAAACGTAGGAAAGGTATTTATATAACACAATGGCCTTCTCAGGATACGGATGTTACGGAAGATTTAAATGAATGTAAAAGTAGCGCAGAGGAATTGGTAGAGCAAACTAAACTTGAGAATCATGTTGATGATTCGAAAACTGAATGGCGAAATGAATCATCAGACTATAAAAGTAATAGATCTACTTGGTCTCCAAGACCACCTTTGTCTTGCCAAACATCAGAAGAAAAAGAAGAAGATAATCGAAAAGCATTCAATAGACGAATGGAATCTCTTTCTGATGGTGAAAGTGATCAAGGAGCTTCTTCGCCTGGTAGAGATCATACCACCTCACCTTCTCCCTCACCTTTTGATTTGTCTGATTGTGAAAACAAACCTATGCATCCTCCAAGACGCTACTCGAAAAGACCTTTGCGAGGTCCGTATGGCCAAATGCTTGAAGCAGAGATGAAGAAACCTGATGCATCAAAATTTTCCAAGATGCAATACAACGAAGAATTGAAGTTTCTGGAAGAACTAATTTCGCCAAAACAGCAAAATCAACAGGATTCACGTGCAGCCCGCGTTCGTCAAAATAATCGATCATTTGATGCATCTCATTTGACCAGCCATGCTGCGCAACAGCAGAATTTGACACAGGCGCAAATAAGGACGCCACCTAAACGCAAGCAAGTAAATTTAGGACAGCAAGAAGGTGGGCTGAAGGAGCCACCGAGGACAGTTTATCATCAAAGAACTGCATCTAGTCCATCGCAACTGGAAAATGCTAGGAGTCCACCCGAACCAAGTGCTGAACTATTGGCAGAACTTTTAAGAGGAAGCTCCGAAAGATTATGCACCGATACTGGAGGATTAGATGGAATTCCAGCTTGCGTACAGAAGTTTTTGGTGAGTGTTTTAAAAGATTTTTAAAATTCTAACACACACACACACACACACATATATATATATATATATATATATATGTATATATGTATACATAAGGATAACTTCTTTACTTCTTATATTATACGAAATTCCTTTTAATAAGTTACACATATCGAATATTTATAGATCCCATGATGTCGTCGAGTGTATACTCGTATTTTAAAACTTATTATTGTTCGGGTTCTTGTGAGAACTCGACTCATACGAAATTATCAGGAATATTTCTATTAACGAATTGGCAAGAAAGTGGTGCAGACGTAAAATGCGGGGGTTTGCTTTCGTATCCTGTTTGCTTTTTATGAATGGAAGCTGAATGTCGTCACACTAGATTGAGAGCTGGTAGGGAATAATAATATAATATTTCAATGAATAACTGGGTGATGTATTATTTCTTGAAGTATATAACTATACCAAATATTTGTAAGCTTACCTCAATTATAAGATCAAACCTTTTAAGTTAAAAAAAAGGTTAAATATGAATATTAGCAGAAATTGTAAATGTTTTTGAATGATTTTTTATTCTAATAATTATATGACTCTATGCTATGTGTTACTACAAATCTAGTTCTAGAAGAATTATAACAGGGCTAAAAAAGACTGAAGTCATGTATCCATTTTGCTTCTTTTGGATGCTGAACGTAAAACAGGGCGTTGCGTGCTTTCATGTTCTGAGTTAGTGATTGATCCTACTTTTTCTACCGAATTTTATTCGACACTTCGTAGGATTTGTGCAGGTGTCTTTTTCAAGCATGATCTTTATATCGCATATTGCGTTATTAATAGTCCGAGATGGTCGTCGTCTCTAAACTTAGAAACCGTCGAAGGAACGATGCAACGGAAATCGCTCGATGCCGCACGCGTTCTAGAGAACAACGTGCTCACTAACTTAGGTAGAGACCACATGCCGAGGATGATGAGTTTATTTATCACAGATACGTAAATAGAATGATTATTAATTAATTATCTTACATCTCAGCTCACGTTTTTGGCTTTTCTTAAATGTCTGTACAATTGTACGAGTTTAGAAAAGCATGAGCAAACTGATGTAATATATTGAGAATATATGCATATTGCATTTCATTTCTAAATTTCAAACGTTGTGTTTGAGAACAATGATAACTATTTTTTGAATCATTAATAATAAAATCTATAAAGATTTAAAATTAAGACAAAATACAAATTAAGTTTATTTCTTATAATCAGCTGTTCATACAAGTCTAACAATAAGTGAATATACATAATTAACAGATAATAGGCAATATACAATATAAAACTTATGTAATTTTTGTTAAGGATTTATGTTGTGATTATTAAAAGTTATTAAGACTAGTGTGAATGCATGAATTTTGGATAATTTTTAAATCATTGTAAAAAGAGGCAATCATCAATTTCATTTATTTATCAGTGTTATAAGATGCAGAAAAAAGTAAAAACCATATATTTAAAAATTAACAGTATGTTGAAGTGGTGGGGGTCATAAAAATGACAATTCAAAATAAAATAAAAGAATATTAATCTATAATAATGTTGCATTGCCATATACTAGGATTAAGTTACCAACATTTATTGGACAAAATAGCGACTGTTTCAAAATAAAGATAGTTTTTCTCGATTGAGTTTTTCGATTTTTAAAAAATAGTAAAAATTGAAATTTGGAGATGAAGCTAGTATATGCTTGAGAGAAGTCTGTAAAGAAAATTCTCAGAATATTTCAATCGTGGGCATCGTATGGAAAAGAAGAGGATGTTCATGATCAAAGGTTATATCTCTGAAAATAATTTAAATTTTAAAAATCCTCTTGTACACATATTCTTGTTAAACTTTGAAAATGCGAAACAAAAGAAAAGGACTAGTTTTTTGAATTTCTACACTAGAATACCGCCCTAAATTTTCGCGTATGTTTTTTCTATTTTTTCGTTAGTATACAGTAAAGTGTATATTAATGTGCATTTTTAAGTTAGATAGAATATTTATAATTTTATTGCTTCAGAATATTTATAATTTTTATTGCTTCAGAATATTTTGGCGCTTTATTAATTTGTCATTTTCTATCTAATTTTCCACATATTCCCATACTCGTCATTACAGTAGTCCGAAACTAATATGATGATGTTCTATTTAAATATTTTATTAATTTCGTCGGGTTCACATAAATTAAGATGATACGAAAGTAGCAATTCGAAGGTCGATGGATTGTCGGCGACTTTGTACTAAATGGTATATGCTATGTTTTATTAGTTTTAATGCAGCAATAAAATCTGCATATTTAATTTATTTATTAATTTATATATCGTCATATGATTTTATGTGATTTTTTTATTTTTGCAAAAACAAAATATTTTGAATATAATTTATAAAATAAACCGTTAACACCTAAAATTCAATAGATGTTGAAAATAACATTAGTATTTCCTTCTCAAATTATAATTGTAGAATTGTTGAATTGGTTTTGATTAAAAAACTTATAATTTGGTTGATTGCGCATAGTTATTATACACTAAAAATAAACATTCTTCAAAATCTCATTACGTGCATAAA